TCCATTGGACCAGGCTATTTTTCTTGGTGTCTTTCAGGCAAAATCAAAAGCATCATATCACAGCAATATATGCACACTCATGTTTACTGAAGTGTGTAATAGCCAACCTTGGAAACAGCCCAAATGCCCATCAACTGATGAATAAATAAAAATGTGGCATTTGGGTGTTCAATGGAGTACTACTCTGCTATAAAGAAGGATAAGTGGAGACATTTCTAGGTAAATGAATACATCTTGAGCCATACTCTTAAGTGAAACAAATCAGACATGCACGTATAAATACCTCATTGTTTCTCTGGTAAGAAACCGTAAGTACAAGGTCCAAATGTGTAATAGGTATTGTGAAATATGAAGAAAATGTTCAAATGAGGAGGAGAACAAGGCAGAGGGAAAAAGGAAGGAAAGAAGGAAAAAGTAAAAAAAAAAAAAACGAGAAAAGGGGAAAATGAAGACAAAGCTTTTGTAAATGTGGTAAAGAGAGAAAAGGTTTTGTCTCTTCAAGGAGAATTGACAGTAATTTTGAGACATAAAAACACAGTAATACTTGAAAGAAAGCAATAAATGTATGTACAACAAAATAATAGTTTACTACATGAGTTTACAGTTTCATATAATAAAACTGTCAAAAATTTAAAAATAGAAGAAAAGGGGAAAAAAGTAACAAGCTATATCACGTACAAGTTCAAATTCTCTATGATGAATGTGATCATTAAGTATATCTAAAACACACCAATAAAAACTGATTGAGTATATTTGAAAGCACTTAAGTGCTTTGGGAACAAAATAGAACAGGAAAGGGAGAGAGGTAATCAAGCAAAAGACGTAGGAGTATAAAGTGGGTAAACTTCATGGAGAAGGTGAGACTTGACCATAGATTTGAGAAAGATAAGAAAGAAAACTATGAAGACATACTAAATTTTAAAAAAAATTTCCAGATAGAAGAAATGGCTATCACAAAGGCCCATAAGGCAAGACCATTATGCTTGGTGTGTTAAAGAAGTGGTAAGAGGCCAAAATGTCCCAAGACCATAGGAGAACAAGACATCAGGAGAAGTAAGGCCAGCGGGTAATAAATAATAAGGACGGGGCAAACTACAGAGGGCCCTATAAACTACTGCTAGCAATTTGGCTACTAAGTAAAATGCAAGCCATGAAAGTCTAGATCAAAGGAAAAACATACTCTTAACAAGTTTTTTGTTGTGGTTTGGGATTTTTGTTTTTTGGTATTTTGGGAATATTTTTAGTACCGAGATTGAACTCATGACCTCAAGCTTGCTAGGCAGGTGCTTCAGCCACTGAGCTGAATCTCAGGCCCCCTTAACAGGTTTTTCTCATTGTTTTCTTCAAACATTTTCTCACTGCTTTACTCAAGTATGATTAACAAATAAATTGCATGTATTCAGAATGTATGCTGGGATAATACATATATGTATATGTATATATATATATATGTATGTGCATATAGTGAAATGATTATCCAATCAATACATAAATACAAGCAATCAAAAGGAGAAATTAAGGACACTTAAGATCTACTCTCCTGGCAAATTTCAAGTATACAATTAAGTATTATTAACTAGAGTTACAATGCTATAGATTAGATCCCTAGAGTTTATTTAGAACTGAAAGCAACAAGTTTTTAAGTGATCACACTGCTGGTCATCAAGAAAGCAGACTAGAAGGCTGGGAGTACAGCTTCATGGCAGAGCAATTGCCTAATTGGAATAAGGCCCTGGGTTTGATCACCAACATCATTAAATGTAAATTAAAACAAGAAAGCAGACTTTCAAACAAAGATGGAAGGAGAGAGACTTGAAACAAAGATGAGGTATAAACTAGCACACTGATCACAAAGGAGGAGCTCAAACTACATCCCCTAAGTAAACAAAATTCTAAATATTCTGGACTAACTGTAACTTTGCTTGCCTGTTATCTAAAGACAGGTTGATGGAATACACTTATTTTGGGAAGTTTCTTATTGTAGAAGACCACAAAAATCTTAGGACAAATAACAGAACACCTGTCTACTACTGTCAATTCTGAACTGAGATTTAATTTTAAAAAATAATTTTCATTTGTTGCATTTTAAACAGCAAATCCAGAAAAATGAAATTTGTATCTGTTCTTCTAAGTTTCAACTATGGGTTACTTTTTTTGAAGTAGTGGGTATATGCAGGGACAGTATACACTGAATTCATAGGTTATGTAGAACTAACAAAAGGGGTAAAGAACCATTACCTACTTGCCATAACCACAAAGCAGAGCACTGCAGGAAAACCTCTTCCCCAAATAGTCAAATTAGTTTTCTTACAAATTCTCTCATCACAAAACAAGAATGCTTCATTTAAAGCAGACATTCTCTCAAATATATACATACCATGAGATATACACATGATTTATGTATGTTAGACATTTATTCTTGAATTAACTTAGGACAAGTGTTTAACCAGGTTCTTCTATAAGATATTAATAGAATTTATTAGTAATATACTAAGTAACAAGAACTCAACCTGAGCTAGTATAGGCAGAAAGAGTCCATTATAGTGATATAAAGCTACTCATGAAAGCAAGAGTAGGAGAGCTGGAGATTTACTAGCGTGTTTGCAACTCCTTAGGTTCAAATCCCAGCACCATGAAAAGAAAATAAGGAGGGGAAGAAAAATGAAATTAGGTCCTAAGCAGGTATGTAAATCAGCAAGATGACACACTCACACGGTTCATGAGAAGAGAATGTAATAAAGAGACTACAAAAATCTGGACAGTTTAACAATCAGTAAGATGACAAACAGGAATGAGTAAAAAACAAATACTATGGGTAAGCCTGAAATGTCAAGAGAAAGGAATATTGTCTCTACAGTCTAATAAGAGCCATGTCTATAAAAGACCCACCTGACAGAAGCAATAGCTACTGAAAAATAAAGTCACTTCCAGGAATGTGCTGCCACAGATGGAACACAGGAAATAAACACCCTATTTTCTTTCTTCTCCTACCATCTTAATTTCCTGAACCCATCATCCAAACTCAACCAGAAGCCAGAGGTAAAGGAGCATAGATCCATAAATACCAGCCTCACAAGGTCAATACAAAACAGACACCAGAGGAGACTGATTCTGGAACAGTAAGAGTGAGTAACCAGCACAAAAGTAGAAAAGACTCTTCTATAGCAATCCAAAAACCATAACCCAGTGAACAGTCCTTTTCCATGAACATATTCTCTGTAATATTTAGGGTACCCATGTACACAAGAAACTAGGAAGTTTAAAAGGATGGTTACCAAAAGATAATAAAAAGAAAAACTTTAGTAAAAGATAATTATTTTTCATAAGCTTCATACTAACTTGTGAATGGCTTTGCTATCAATTATTTCATTTTAAAATTCTAACACCCTCTATATATTTCAATAATAAAAGAGCATCAATGCAAAAATAAAGTTCTCCTCCAAGGTTCTGAAACACATAATCAAAAGCTAGTTATGAGGGGCTGGGGGTTTAGCTCAGCGGCATAAGCACCTGCCTTGCAAGCAGGCGGTTGTGAGTTCGATCCCCGGTACCGATAAAAATGAAAAAGACAAAAAAAAAAAGCTAGTTATGATGGCCATACCTAGAATCCCAGCTACAAGGAAGTGAGTCAGGAAAATTGCAAGTTCAAGACTAGGCTAGGCAACAAAGCAAAGCTCTTATTGTCAAAATATATAAATAAAAAGTAACTGAAAACTGGGCATGTATATTTTTAATGTCACTTTCATAAACTTTGTGTTTTCCATGATAACAAACCATGAAACACTAGTGCTTTGGGGAAATATTTAAGTAAAAGTCTGAGCATCTATTAGATAGATGGCAGTTTGTAATATAGCAAATATGGGAGATTTCCTTCTGTCTTGTTTTTGAAATCCAATACTGTTCTGTTTTATTTTGTTCTAATTTATTGTTTTATTTTATTCAATGCTCTGCTTTGATCAGTTTTATTGTTTTGACTTTACTATGTCTGATGGAATGAACAACTATTGTGAAGATAACAAGATATATTATAGCAGCCATTGTTGAGTTCCTATTATTTTGCTTTTTTCTGTACCATTTTCACTGCTTTGTTTTGATTGGCCTAACTCTGTTTTGTTTTGTTTTGTTGAGTTTTATTCTCTTTAAAATAAAAATATGTATGTTTAAGTAAAAACACAGAAAGTGCACATTAATTTAACATATGAAGAATAAAAGCACACTAAAAATAAAAATGGCAAAGCACAGTAAGTTTCTACTAGTTCACCAACTGATAAATCTGTAGATTCAAGGATGACAGAATAGCAAAAGAAAACTGAGGTAAAAAAGTAAAAATATGTAAGTCAAAGCTACTCTATCATATAATGACATAAACACACAAAAGTAGAAACAACAGAATAAATTTTCCAACTAATGTCTGTTAGATCTTAAAATATTTCCACCTAATAAGATTTGTATAGTTTTTAACCATATTAAATGGACTAGCAAAACCAAAATATTTTACCTAAGCACTCTTAACTAGATACTGAATATTTAGACAGTAGCAGGCAATGAAGGTGAAAATCAGCTTAGAAAGCAACAGTATAGAATATGCACTGTGTTACAGTCTGTGTCCTACATAACCTTTTGAATGCATGACCTTTAAGTTGCTGAAGGTTGCCTCAGAATTTGGCTCAGTTTGATGGAAACATCTGTTCCCCTTGCAGGTATACTGTAAGGACTTTTTTCTCAGTTGGATTCAGAACACAGCAAGTGAGCCCTTGTCTTTCCAATCACATAGACCCCAACACTTGTAAATCAAGTTCTGGGAGGACAACAGCAGGTCCACATTCCGTCACCCTTTCTCAGCCAGCTAGGCCAACTGACTGCTGTGAGATCTGCTCTTATCATGTCATCAGATCAAACATGTTGAGATGAGGGAGAAAAGAGGCATCTGCAGAATTCCCAAAATGTAGTGACTTTGGAACATTGACAGATGCATCTGTCATTTTATAACTTCAACTAACCTGATGTCCACTGGCCCGACGCAGTAAAGCTGTCCAAGATCGATTCTAATTCTTTCACATTATTTTCACATGTCTCTACTAGAAAAGCCTGGTGCTTCTTAGCCTTTAGGAAAAAAATAACACATAATATAATCACACATTTAAAAGGCTGCAGACTTTAATGTAAACCTATAGAGCACAATTAAATACAAACATGATATTAATTACTCCATTCAAATCTATTATTAATGAATCCTCTGCCTTAACCACAACTTTTACTTGGCATTGGGCTCTAATTTACTAAGGATGGTGTGCCTTGCACTACTCTAAGTATTCCACACATAGTAATCTTTTTATACTCACAATAACTCTATAATAAAAAGATAAGAATTTTTTAGATAAGCTAACAGATGAATTCAGGAACACTTTAAAAACTCATGGTTGCAGTCATGTGGCAAATTTCCAGATGGCAATCCAAAGAGAATATAGTTAGGACCAATTAGAAGCAAGTGCAGAAGTCAAGTGATAGTAGTTTAGTCTTGAGCATTAGCAGTGAAATGGGGGAAAGATACTCAGAAGGTAGAACACTGCACTTGATAACACTGCACTGACTAAGACACTACATTAACTGGATTTCACTGGACTGGATGGTGACAAGAAAGTCTTTAAGTGAAGAAAAGAGTCAAGAGTAATCCCACTGCCTAAAACTAAAGGAAGCTGGTAGATTTCAGAAACTGAATAAAAACAGAGGTAGAAAAATCTTATTTTGTTATTTTTTTCACTTGCTTATTTTTAGCAGAAAGTATCATCATTAATTCTATTTTAATCATATTCCACTGAAGATACAAAAGTTACTCCTAGGATAGGCACAACATCTGAAAAATATCAGATCCTAAATAAATACTAGAAAGAGAAAACAACAAAATGGAAAATATGGCAGGTAGCAGAACATACTGCTACAAACTCAAAAGAAAGGTCAGGTCTAGGAATGGTCTACAGGTACTGCCTAAATCTCCTTAAGAGTGTTGGAAGGAAACAGAAGAATCTAAGACAAAATCTTAAGAACTCCGGCATTTCTTAAAAAATAAATCATTTAAGCAGACCCATTCCCCTCCCCCCCCAAAAAAGAGGTAAAAACCAGAGGGATATGATATAATGAAAAACAGATACAAGAATACTTGAAGCAGAGAGTTCACAACTATATCCAAAGTCACGGAAAAAGCAAGAAAAACTACTCAAAAGTGTTCACTGGGCATGAAAGCCACTGGTAACTGATAAGATCTGATTCACTGTAGTATAGTTCTAACTCCAACAGGAATGGGAAGAGAAAGTAAACTTTTTCCCCCCTCCCTAAGCGATGAAAGATGAACAAATGGAAACCTGAAGTTCACACTCTCTTTGCTTGGCAAAAAAGGAAAAAAGGGCTGGAGATTTGGCTCAGTGGCATAAGTGCCTGCCAGGCAAGCGTGAGATCATGAGTTCAATCCCCAGGACAAACGAAAGGAAAAAGGGATAAAAGGGGCAGTGATTGGAAGAGTGGTCAGAAAGAGTTGGGTTGTTTTTTAATATGTGAGATACTTAAACTTGTTTAAAAGCTGAAAGATAGATCAGCTTATAGATACAGAAGAAAAAGGGAGAAAGATACTATAAAATTGTGCCTTTTAAATACAGCAGTCCCTCACCACCCCCAGTCAACACATTAATGTTCCAAGACCCTCAGTGGATGCCCGAAAGCACAGATAGTACTAACTCCTCACAGCACTAACTGAAATCAATTCCTTTGCTCACTCTGCTTCTGAGATCTTAGGTTAATGCATCTACCTCAAAGAAACTAAGTTCCTCGAGGAGGGAAGAATGTTAGACTCACTACTGTATAACTATTACCTAGACAATACCTCGTATTAAAATTATCAGTTAGAATACATGCTATCACCTAAAGATTGTCAAACCAATTAGGATTCTTTGACACACAAACTTTAAACAGAAGGAAGCTTTTGGGTTGTGTGTTTTATTCTGTTGTTTCAGTACTGAGAATTGACTGAACTACATTCCAGGCCTTTCTGCCCTTTTCATTTTGAGACAGGGTATCATTAAACCGCCTCTAACTTGCCATCCTCCTCTCTCATCTCCTCAGGAGATGGAATCACAGGCTGGTGCCACCAACAGGCTGAATGAAGCTCTTTCCCCTGTTCCGACATGGAAAGATTTCAAAGTTACACTGTCATTACGGCAGTGTTACACTGCTGGGATAAATTCTACTTAGGGATTTTTTTTTTTATTACGCTTTTTTATCTTACTAAAACTCACTTTGTTAGTATGTCAAGAAGTTTAGCATTGCATTCAAAAAGGATACACAGGCCTGTAGCTTGGGGGGGGGGTATTTGCTTTGTTTTGTTTTTGTAGTCTTCAGTTTTGGAGTCAGGGTAATGCTAACAACTATATAGAATGAGATGTGAAGTGTTACTTTCTCTACTTTTTTGAAAGAATTTAATGAACAGTCTCTGTCAAGTCTTCTTAAATGGTATCATGAAGCAACCCAGGCCTATGCTTTTCATAGTGGGAAGCTTGCTGATTATTCAATGTCTTTACTTGCTTTTCTATTTAACCAGTTTTGGTAGTTTATCTTTTTAGAAATTTGTCCATTTTATATAAACAAATCTAACCTGTTAGCATACAATTATCCCACAGTATTCTCAAATTCTGTACAGTCACTTATATTCCATCTTTATGATTTTGGTAATTTAAATTGTCTCTTTTTCTTGATTATCTTTTCAAAGAACCAAGTTTTGGTTTCATTGACTTTCTAGCTATATTGGAGAATAAAACTATTTATTTTCCTTCTTCTTTTAATTCTCTATTTCTTATGTCATTGTTCTTTGGTTGGTTGGCTGTCGATAACAGAGATATTGTTAAGTTGCCAAGGCTGGGCTGAAACTTGTGTTCCTCCTGCTTCACTCTCTTAGTGCGCCAGGATTACAGACCTGTGCAAACGTGCTCAGCTTCCTGTTTATGTTCGGTTTTAATCTATTCGCTTGGGTGTTAGTTGTTTTTTTTTTCCAAGTTTCTGAGGATGAAATGTTAGGTTATAGAAGGTTTTTTTCCTTAAATATAGGTGATTGATTACAGTTCTCACTTTCCCTCATAAGCACTGCTCCTAGTTGTATCTCATAAAGTTTGGTATGTGCTGTTCTCATTTTCATTCATCTCAGTGTTTTCCAATTCCTTTGTACAAGATTTCTTTTGAACCAACTGGTTATTCAGGAGTACATCCACATTTAATTCACATTTTTTAATTTTCTCTATTGATTTCTAATTTAATTTCAGAGAAGTCAGAGAAGATATTTCATATGATTTGACTCTTTAAACTTATTGGTTTTGTTTTACTGCCTATAATAATGTCTATCCATAAGAAATGTTTCATGTGTTCTCGAGAAAAATGTATGCTCTGCTACTGATGAATGTGGTGTTCTACAGCTATCTATAAGATCTAGTTTGTTTAACACATTGTTAAATCTTCTATTTATTTCCTGATATTTTTCCTAGTTGTTTTCCCAACTTCTGAAAGTGGGCTACTGAAGTCCTCAAGTATTACTGTTGTCTATTTTTTCCAGGGATTTATATCAGATTTTGCTTCACACATTTTGGACCTCTATTGTTAAGTGTATATATGTTTATAATTATTAGCTTTTCCTAGTGGTGTCTAAGATACAACATTTTATTTCCAAAGTCTGTTTTGTCTGATATCACTTACCCTGATAAACTTTGTGGTATGCAGGTACATTTTTCCCATCCTGTTATTTATATATATATATATATATATATATATAGATATAGATATAGATATATAGATAGATAGATATATAGATAGATAGATAGATACAGATATAGATATATATTAATATATATGCTATCTTTAGTATTCATCAAAATCGGTGCATTGATTAAAAACTGTTAGAAAATGAACAAACAGATTCAGAAGAATAATATCACTAAAGGATACATGATTATGAGATAGGACAGGGACTAAAACCCAGTTCAAATTATCTCCAAAATGTATGCTCTTTCTAATGTGTCATGCTGAAACTGTCTCTCTCAAATGAAGGTATAAATGTTTATAGAAACACAGGTGTAGAAAGCAAACAAATTGCATACATAAAATGAGCTTTAAAATTCAACTAAATTCCTATATAAGTAATAATTCTCTTTTTTTTTTTTTTTTTTTTTTTTTTGTCTTTTTCCTTTTTATCGGTACCGGGGATCGAACTCACGACTGCCTGCTTGCAAGGCAGGTGCTTATGCCACTGAGCTAAATCCCCAGCCCCTTATAAGTAATAATTCTCTCTCAAGGGCTCAATTTTGACTAAAACATGAGCCAAAACTTCAATACTATTACAATTTAAATCAAATTAGAAAGAAACCTCAGAATATTTCAAAGAATAAAGAAAAGATTTGATCACTGGTCAGGCTTTTAGAGGCTAACTATATCTGAAAAAAAATCACTGTTTCACTTTTAACTAATAATATCATAATTTTCTCATACTTAATAATTAGTAATTTTGTTCACACTTAATAATGTGTTTTATTTGTATTTAATAATTATTCCCACAGTTGACTTTTTTGCCCCAGTATAGGAATTGAACCTAGGATCTTCACACCGAGCTACATTCCAGCCCTTTTTTAAAACATATTTTTATTTTGAGACAGCAACTCACTAAATCCCTAAATTGCCTAAGCTAGGCTCAAACCTGTAATCAATCTCCTACTGCAGCCTCCCAGAGCACTGGGATTACAGGTACAAGACACCATGATTTGCTGTTTGCTTGGGTAGATGGGTGGGTGGTTGTTGTTGGCTGGTTTTTTAAGACAAAACCTCATTCCATAATTAGACTGGTCTCGAACACACTATGTAGCCCAGGTTGGCCTCAAACTCACAGGTGTCCTCCTGCCTCAGCCTCCCAAGTGCTAGCATTACAGGTGTGTGCCACCACACCCAGCTTCATATTTCACAAATTTTCTAATAAGTTGTTCTGAATTTACAAATGAAGCTTTAATTTTTCACTCACATAGTAAAAGTGTTTAAATTGTTTTTCAGTACTAAACTATACTTATATTTAATTTTTTCCA